CAGGTGAACTAGAAGCCCATAGAAGAAGATAAACATGATGAGACTCAAACCAAGTAGTAGCAAGTTTAGACTTGTGCTTGGGATCATTGTCCTGAGCAAAATGAGTATACTTCTTAGTGATTCTGAGTTTCTTCAAGGTAGAGAGAAGTGAACTCTGTAGGATTTGTGTGTACATCTCTGCATCCATCTTACCCTCAATCCTATGAAGAGTCCCAACACCTTTGGAAGTGACACACCCCCAAACCATAATACTTCCACCTCCATGCTTCACCATCTTCTGCACATAAACATCATCAAACTCCTGCCCAGACCTCCTGTAACACTACTGACAACCATCAGAGCCAAAAAGATTGAATTTGGACTCATCAGAGAAAATGACAGAATGCCAGTCTAGAGTAGTCCAATCTCCAAACGTGTGAGCCCATTCTTTTCTAGCCTGCCTCAATTTGATGCTGAGAAAGGGCTTATGGCAACAAACATAGGCCTTAAGACTATGTTTATAAAAGTGACAACACATGGTACTCTTGCTGACATGAGGGAAGTGGTTTCGTTTGAGATTGGTAGCATTACAAGCTGAACCAGATGCAAGCATTCTAGCAGCAGAACAACAGTCGGGCAACGAAAGCTTGGTGGGACGACCTGGCTTAGGCATAACAAAGTATGGATCACCAGTAAGGAGGAGCTTGCAGTGCAATCAGGAGACAGTAGAACGAGAAAGGCCAAGCCTTTTGGCACACTCAGAGTAAGACATGCCAGCATGCTTGTAGTCCAATAGACGTGCTTTATGAGTGGGTGTAGTGTAGTGCATAGAGTAGAATAGAGGTAATACTAAAGCCCAGGGTGCAAAAGGAGGCACAGGTGTCGAAATAATGAGCACTGGGGCAGCCTTTTTAAAGTGTATGTGCTGTGTGCATATGTAATGCAACAGCATGTTTTTTTTAGATCCGTCCGTCTTGTATAATTACTGCACATTTTGCAGTCTTTTTTACATACATATATTTGCAGTATATCACACTTAATTTACATGTAATTTATATGGGCATAAGTGTTGTGTGGAATGACGTGTAGAGGCAAAATGAAAAACACGTGGTGTGTTGCAATACTTTTGACGCGCACTGTATATGCCGTCTCAGATTACAATAAATATCACTTTTATTATTCTCACATATACATCTACACTCGTGCATTTGATATTCCAATTTATTACCACTAGTTCAAATTAACTTTGTACATAGACAATAGTATTAACTTGTCATATGTTGCCAATACACTGAACGATTCCTTTCACCTCAACTCTTGGAGAAGAGAATTCATGTACTTTCCGTTACAGCGTTTGTAAAATATGTTCTCCAGGATACTAGCTCTACCATTGATCCTGTATTTTCTGGAATCCGGTATGCCTGTGCAATGTCTGGGATCTCCACTTGCACATGCGGAATAATATTTCTTCTTAGCCCTCGAACAAAGCCTAGGATTACATGGTCAGTGGGTTATATCGATGGGAAAGAGACTGAACAGATTTGAATTGGTAAACAAGGCGTAACACAATGCCATGCAAGATCTATTAAAATACCTGTCGTAGTTCTTGAACACAACTCACCCATGATTAGCAGAGCTCCTAGTGCACTTATGTTTTACTTCCGTATCACGCGTGCCGTCGCAATAATCGGTTATCTCAACTCTGCACATGATTTAATGTATACTCTGTAACTGGACACTTTGTTGAGATAGTACATCCAGGACATTGGTATGAAGGTTGACTCACAGTTACCGTCAGCGCAGCGAAGGTAGATGACTGCAGTGAGTGATGCTGAGATCCTCTGGGAAGAAAACGTCCAGTATTTTATAGACTTCATTCAAGTTCATTGCACTAGCAAGAGCAAATAATAATATGTGCATAAATATTCTGACAAGTGAAACATAACATGTACTTTGTTGTAGTTGCATCAGCATGTCGAAACATGATTTCGAATGGTCCAGTATACACGAGAAGGATACATTTTGCTACAGCTAAAAAATAGTCATGTTACATCCTTGTTCACACGACATGACTGAATGTAGGGTCGAGATACATGGCTGAAATATATGCTTTCGTCCAGTAAAATTCTGTTTGTGCAGTAACACAGGCAGCGCGTCGCTGGTGGGTATTAGACGCCTAATTGTTATTGAGAATATGTGATACCTAACTTATAACATTTACCTGGCCATTCGCAATACCCGATTTGGAGAATTCTTCTTCTTTTATTTATTTTGTTTTATTTGTGAAAAAAAGGGGACCCCTACAATGATATCACGAATGAGAATTTGCTGGCCATCACTTGATCTATTTTCGAGATAGTGATGGGAATATAATTTCAACATATCTTGCAGACAATGTCAATTTCATTTTCCACGAGTAAAAATAGGACAATGATATATCCCTTCATTGTAAACAAATCTATTTTGCATACCGTCATTATCAATACTATATTTAGCAGGGGATCCACATTGGGGAAGCTGAGTCACCTTGAATGTAACTTTCCATAGGCATTACAACGACATCTTTAGATCTTTGCTTGTGCATAACGGGTAAGGGCTCCTGCCAGTTTATTAATATTCCACCGCCACACAATAAATTTAGTTTCCTGAATGCTGCCTCGAGTGAGTTAGGTTCTCAGAACATTGGGCAGACGACTATCGTTGCCGGAGCAAATCAAGTAAAGTAGTAGGCTATTATACATGTAATGTATTGACAATCACAGTGTATTATTAAGTAGATGATAGAGAAAATTGCATTTCCTTTGGACATCCGAGTTCGGGTTCACAACGGGTAAGATAAGTATATTATAGTTCCTCGAGGAATAATTCAGCAGAGCAAGAGAGCGAAATCCATCTAATAAGCCGTTGGAAATCAATAGTCCTAGCTTCAGGCAAAAAGGTGATAATCAATATGGACAGAAGCAGAAGCAGTATCTAGGAGGTTATAATAGCCAGCGGTCCTTCAGAGCGAGAGGATAATTGCAATCGCAGCCAGGCATCAGACGTGATTCCAAAGAGCGAGCGATATAGAGTAACAGCTACATTATATGTGCAACGTGCTGACTTGCGTGCACTGAGCTGCCTCGAAACGAGGTGGTTATAGAGTTCTGCTTCGCCTTTATGTTTCCTTATTATCATCTCGAGAGTTCTAGAGGAAAACTTGCGTGATAAATTCCAGTTCCCAGTGGGCCGTCGGCTCCATGTCAACATGATAGACTGAATTTTCCTCGGAGAAGAGAGTGACAGAGAGCTTTCAAAGTACAAAATGGCTGGAAGATTTAGGTACTGCGTGCTACAAGCAAGCTCGTATAAGTCTGTGCGCCTAGACATAGTCAAGCTCAATTCCACGAGTTGGATGAGCAACACCAGCTGTGGGCCTGAGACTTGGTGTTATTCCGGATTAGGCTTACTTAAGGTTCATAACTTACTTAAACGATCCGTGACACGAGTGTTTTCTTTCACATGTATGTCACATCACACTTTATTTTATTTACGACTAGGCGAGGTTTTTACAGGAGTTACATTTGTTACAAGCAAACACAGAACAATCACCACAGTAGTCATTGATCTGACACAATGTCCGATGTATACCCGACCGGCAGTAATCAAATGAAAAGGTCTATGCAGGCACGCAAATGATGGATGGCCACCATATCTTACTCGCAGGATTCTTGCGAATTTCAACGAGTTTCCAGCCACTGGCTTCGACAACACTCTGGAAACCATCGGCGGTACGTTCCGCTGAGTGGAGGCAAGACATGACCTAGGGTTTGTGCGTGTGAGCATTCTACCTCCAGCGCTGTTACGGGCTAAAACAGAACGTACCACAATGTCGACCTCGTACGCAAGCAAGTTTGCACCGCCGAGGTTTGGTAATAGCGGCTTCGGTGGACTCGGTGCAGCCTCAGAACCTGGTTTCAGCGGTGCTTCGCACGCATAGCTGATGATACTGTCAATGATAACGAGTTTCGTGTCTGGACCGGCAGCATTACGGAGGTTGCGAAGCAGTTTGATGCAGTATTTGTCCGACCAGTCGTGGAGAATCATACGCAACAAGAAAACATCAGGAGTAGCGGGCAACGCCGGTTGTGGCTCAAAGAAATCGCATCCTGCAGTCGGTTCAGGGTCGTCAAGTCAAAGCATTTAATGGAAGGAAACTAGGACGAACCGACGAAGTGGACTTTGCCCGACTCGATGTGTGACGGTAGATTCGCTTTCCAGTACTACATTGGAGATTAGTGCCTGCCGCATCTGGAACATCTGGACACTTACGTTTTTCGCGCTTTCCAGGGTCACTGGGCGGTCCTCGATGGCAACATTCAGTCCAGGGAATGCCTTTGCAATTTCCAATCCGACGTGGCCGGCCCCGCCTCCGACATCAATCACTAGACCGTTCTTGGGAACTGATTCCCAATTGAAGCCTGAAGAGATTTTCAATACAGTCAAATTAAAATCCTCAAACGTCCTTACCGGTCAAAACGGCCTGAGGTGGATGAAGCTTCGAACTGGCCGACATCGCAGCGGCAAAGCGACTTCCGCGATAGCGTCCCTCAGGAGAGTCGTAATATGTCCACTGGTCTCGTTCTATGCCGAGTGCCTTTTGGAGGCCTGTCTCATTGACCTCCTCTGAGAATGCTGTCTTGGGGTCAAATATGACGTCTTGGAATTGCGCAAGTGCTTTGAAAGGCTCGTCGGCACTGGACGGAGACATTCAGCAGATGCGACAGTCCTCAAAGTCAAGGACATACCCATATCCTGCGATTGCAGCAAGCCCAGGTGTTTCCTTGTGTTTGTTCACAGCGCTAGGATTAGTCAGTGAGGTGAACGGTTTCTATTGCCATTGGTTAATCTGAGTTAACTTACAAGTCGGGGGTCACTTCCTTTCCAGTGTCAAGAAGCGAAGACAACAAGTTAGTTGCGAAAACATCTGGCGCAACCTCCTTGAACCAATGGTTCGTAGCGAGGAAACGGAGGATGCGTGCTTGGTAATACATCAATCTCTAGACCATGGAGTTCGTGTAGTAAGTTATCCTTACCGAGCTTCTTGGGGTCGATGTTGCTCTTGGATGCAATCTCGTTGACATGCAATCCCTAAACGAGGATTATAGTTCTGAGAAAGGACTCTTCGGCAATTATGCGATAAACGGTTACCTTTGGTCCTGCGGATCTGATAATCTCGGCAACATTTGCCCTTTCCGCGACGCCGAGTGCGAGGGGCAGCGTGTGCTACGGTAAGTGTAAACATTCTCTTTTCTGTGAGTCTCATGAGTCCATAACTCTCACCCTGAATGCAGATGTAGTGAGTGTAACAGGAGGAGGCTGGAGTGTCTGGATGAGCTGGAATGCAGCAGCTACTGCTGGGCCGATCGCTTCTGCAACCTGGGGGTGGTTGCGGATCCCGTCAGGGGTGAACTCCGAAAACTGGACAGGCTGGTCAAGGGAAGGGAAATCCTTGCCGGCCGCAGCGCAGACCTGGTCAATTCTATCGATGGACGCGGAAATTATATCACGAAGGGCTTTCAGTTCAGCAGTCATGTTGTGTATGCGTGAGGTAATGAGGTTGGGTGCGTTTTGTTTCGCAGTCAGTCATCTTATATGCCAGTCCCTGGCAGAGCAATTCGCCCATGTTCTGATATTGATAGATGCAGTTGATGCAATTCTTTGACTATAGTTTGCACAAGAGCGACCAGGTTCGTGTGAGTCTTCTACCATTGTTGGAGAGGATAAAGTGTTGGCCCCGAAAGGAAGGCTTATAAATAGTATTTTTGCCAATTTAAGCAGGATTTTCGGTGGTGCTGGCGGACCTGTTTCGAATAGCATCCATCAGTTACTTATCCGATCGCAAAAATTAATCACCCAAGAGCAATGCCGTATGTAAACGAGTCTCCATTGATCTACCATTAACGGAAGTCCACTGAGCTCGGCTTTTTTGTGATCTCGGTTTAATCCAAGAGATCCGGTCTAAAGAAAGTTCACATGCTGCACCGCTTGCACCTGAACACTTGCGCGATCAATGCGTTCAAATTCGGCTATTCCCTCTTCACGTTGCTGTGAATGGCACCCAAGGACATGTGCGTGGTGATCTGGCGCCTGCGATCATTCATTGGGTTGAACAACCCGCGGCGTTTGAGTGCATACACATGTCAAGCTCATCGAAACCGTCAGTCAATCGGCAAAAGTGCAGTGCACCGCATGTACCTTGCCGGAATTACGGACGAGTTCCAACGTGAGATGCCAATTTCTCCTTTTGCATATCCTCTGATGATGGCTTGACTCCTCTACGTGAAACAAGTCCGATAAATATTTATAAAGCCTGTGTACACTTCTATGACTTAACCATAATTTACCTGGGATCGATTCAGCATGTCCGCTCCGTCGCCTGCAGAGCTCGCGCAACTCGCCACAGCTGCAACGCATCTGTATGTGTCTACTCATGCGTTGGACTATAGTACCACGACTAACAATGGCTTATAGCGAAGCTGCTAAATATTATGACTTGGCTGCCTTCGGTAAGTAAGAGCAGCTATCTATGACAGTACCTGTTGCTGATTTATTTGTTCCAGTCATGCTTCTTTATGACACCCTGCTCACGATTCCCAGAGAAGTAGACAAGATATGGAAGAAACACTGGACCGGAGTGACACTTCTCTGGTTCTTGGTAAATGTGTTCGCCTTCTGTACACCGCATTCTAATAATATTGCTCCAGAATCGATGGATTTTTATTTTAGCAGTCGTACCTACTATAGTCGGTTCGTCCACCTCACCCGCTAAATTCATCTACATGCCAGTCTAAACCGCTTCATCGTTACAGCATTCCACGACCCGGGGTTTATGGGAAAGGTAAGCTAGAGCTCTTCTATTCCGGAAGATTCATGATCTAACTTGACGTTGTAATAGCCGTACGCACGACTCTCTTTCTCATGAGACATCCTCTCAGACAGCACTCCATTCTAGGTGTGAAAGGTTTTTCCGATATGCAGGATATATCGCCACATTTCAGCGCGTGGTCATAGGGTGTAAGTACAGATGGGGAAGTTACGATTTTAAACTCATATCATTGACAAATGCTTCCATGCATTAGCTGTTTTTATCCTCCGAACATACTGCATATATGGCCGAAACCTCGTCGCGGCGGGCTTCATTGCAATTTTCCTCATCGCGGAGGTTTTCTGCAAGCTCGTACGTAACAAACTGCTCGGTCCGAAGCTACGCACGGACTTTACTGACTTCCATCAGTATGCTAATCTTAAATGGGGAGCTCCGGTGGTCTTACCGAAAGGCTTCGTGGCCTGCGTACTCGCTGTAGCACCCGAGAAGTAAGCGGCCTTCGTTTGGATCCGCAGTTAAGCTATTCTTACCCCATTTATCATGTAGCGCTCATAAATTCGCAATATTTTGGATCTCGGAACTTTGCACGGGTAAGTTTATATTCGTCCGTGATTATGATGCCGCCAGGGGTCGCTAAGCAGCGCACAAAGACGCGGTTGTTCTTACTCTAACGATCTATCGCTCCTACGTTGTATCGAGAATGCAGAGTGTATTCCATTCAACGTTACTACGGGTCATCGCCAGAGATGGTGAGTACTCCACCAATTACTACTGCCAATCGGATACTCAAAGAACGCTCAGGCATAGTGTATTTCCTAATCATGTTCCTGGTTAATCTGACGACTGTACTTTTTGACTTGGTATGTAGCCCTTCCATACGTTCTTTGCAGTAAATGCTGACTGAATCCATTTTCAGATTGCATCGGTAAGACTAAGCCCGTTCGATTTAGTATTTGGGATTTAGCTCATGACCTAAACAGCAAGACTTGAAAGCCATTAATGCAAATTTCGGCGTGATGTAAGTACATTGTTATATGTCTGTACTTGTTTTTTGATGACTTAGCGAAATTGTAGGATCAACTGCATTATGACAGGACGTCTCATTCTCAACCTGAAGTCTGCGACGTCCAAACCGGACCCCGCACAAGTGTCCTATGCAGGGTACAACGGTGTTCGGAACAACTTTGAAGCCCGCATACTCGGAAACATAGGGAACGACCTTGAGGACGAATCGCATGTGAGTTCGACACTTACGGGGTCAACTCTGGTTTCACAAACGGGACGTAACGCACATTGGGATAGGGGCTGCCGTTCAATTGATTATAACGACGGGTACGAGCTCTCTGTCAGACGACCACAAGGTTATCGGGTCTGATTGATACGGACTGCTGGACGTTAACTTATGATTTGTACATTATTCTGATCTGATTGACTCCGAGGACCTTGTTTATTGGATTCCCCATTTAATTCGCTGTAAAACTTCCTGCCGTATTGCACCTGCGTTCATGTGGACCTGCTGTAGACTAATTTCGATATACCAAAGTTGCTTACACCTATTTCAACTCCTCCCACATCGGTGAGACAATAATTAAAATGAAATTCAGTACTATTTGACCTTCATCATTGATATTGTCGATACAATTTAAATTTATCCATGTGATGTGATGCAATCTCAATTTGCGGCACCGGCGGTGAGCACTCAAAGTGTTTCCGCCCCTGATCGAAAGTCAAACTTGATCCGGGTGGCGATCGCAAAACCGTATCAAGATCGCCTGTGCAGTGCGTGGCAAAAAGTGTACAAATCAGTTTGCATCAATCCACGTGCAATTCGACATCAGTTCAAACGCTTTATTCAGGGCCATCAATATCGGCGGCGGTTCTTGAGAAAGACAGCCTTGCATAACTTCATCGGAAACGGGCTCATTCTATGCGACTTCCCGAAATTCGACATTTTGAATCTACCGCTCACTGCGGAGCGATGGCCGAATCATCTCGGCGGGACATGCCTCACCGGTGATTTTAAACCAATTTTTGAGCTGGCAGGTATCAACTAGCAAATACCTTTCCTGTTCTACTACGAGACTACGATTCGCGAAAATGATTCGACCTTACTTGGAGCTTATGCGAATTCATAAGGTGTGTACCTGCTTCTTTGCAGTCAGCTTTGTGATTAATGAGAGAAACAGCCCGCTGGTGGACTATTGTTCTTCTGGCCGATGAGTATGTTTTTCGCTGCAACCAATTCTACTATCGTGTTCTGACCATTCGTACACCCATGTTTAGTCTGGGGATTGGGAATGGCTTCGTATACTAGCAGAACACCTTTCGTCGAGATCCTACCACTACTGCTGAAGACTGTCTTCGGAGCCTTCATCATACGGAGCCCAGCATGCACAGTGAACGATATCTTTGATCGGAAGTTCGATGCTGCAGTCGGTATGTGCTGTCATTGGGCTAAAGCCCTGCATACGACTGATGTGATGGATTCTCACGCAGAGAGAACGAAGGGAAGGCCGATGGCCTCCGGTCGAGTTTCAGTCTTCTCTGCAACGGTATTCTTGTTGCTACAGTACCTGATTGGCGTTCTGTTCTTCTCGACGTATGACAGAACTGTGTATGTTTCCTTCTCACCTTGATCAAATTCTCATAGCGAAGCTCACACCGCCATTTCAGATTCTGGTTATCGATGTTAGAAATGATCCCTCTGTACGCGCCCAAATAGCCTCCGAATTATTCAATTTCTGAATTTTTTCCTCAGGTTTATCATATACCCGTTGATTAAACGAGTTTCATACTGGCCACAAGCATGGTTGGCTATCGGTGTGAACGTAGGATTCATACAATCTTGGTACCAAATCGATAATGATCTCGAGAAGCTACCCAGCGCAATTTGGCTAATGTTCACCGGCATGTTTTGGTATGTCAGCCGTCTGTTAAAAAGCTGACAGAAGTCTGATGGCAACATTTCCTTTTGACAGCTGGACCATGATGTATGGTGGGCTAAGACCGATTGATTATTAGCTTCAAGAGCACGTTTCTAACAATGCGAATTGATCAGACACTGTATATGGGTGCCAGGACAGAAAGGATGACATTAAGGTTGGCGTTTGGTCAACCTCCTTGTTCTTCGGAGATTATGTGTGGTATGCGGCAGCCATTTTTGATGCCGCTTTCGTCCTATGTCTTTATTATGCCGGAGTCGCCAACGGCCATGGCACACCATATTTCGTTGTTTCTGTCGGAGGGACCGCAGTGCAGCTTCTATATCAGCTTATGATCCTGGATGTTGACTCGACTCAAAGTTGCTGGGGTTAGTGACATAAGGAATATCAGTGAAATGGTCTAAATTCTGACGGCAATTTACAGAAAACTTCAAGAACAATGCGTTCATTCTTGGGCCCCTCGTGTTCGCCGGCATAATGGCAGACTATGCTCGGGTTTTGCGGGCTTAGGAACTACGGCTTCATACTTTATGGTCTGATCGTATCTCGGGATTCACTCAACGGGCTTAACTTTGAGCCGCTAGACCATCAGGCCCGAGAAAACCAATCAACCGCGATGTGGTACGGCGACCGAACGGCGTAGATCTTATTTGCAGGGTTGGAAAATGTTTAGATCATAGTCAATGTTCTCGCATAGCAGTTCACCTTTCGGGGATGTTATATATCTGCTTAATCAACTTGAAGCTTCTAATTATACGAAATTTCACCATTCTCGGCTAGCCAAAAGTCCGCCGCCGCATCTGCATCATAGGAGAATTGTTCGATATTCTTTTGCTTATCAGCCCACTGGTTAGCATTCCCTTCGTTAAGTTGATCGAGTCCAGGTGATTTTTCCAGGCACGCCTGTTCAAGCTCAAACTTCATTGCACTGCGCATCTGGGAATCACGTTGCTCCTGCTCCGGCCCATCGGGGAGATGGAAAATATACTGATTCATTCGACTAGCGAGCTGCGTCTTTGTTGCACGCGGACGGCGAATGCTTTCGTATGCATAGAGGAGCCTTGGTAGTTGCGCGAGGGAAGAAAGTCGAGATAAGAGAGAGCCGAGCACTGCTGCGTCTTCGAATGCCATTGCAGCACCTTGAGCACGGTATGGCTGCAATAATCATGAGTGAGAATGCGAAGATGAAGCATAAAACGGTCAGATATACAAGCATGGGGTGGCATGCATCCCCAAGAAGGACGACGCGACCAGCAGGATGTATCCATCTTTCGAGGGGATCGTGGTCTGTTAGCCTCCACCTGAGAGTAGATGTGACATGCGAAAGCAGTTTGCGGACACTTTTACGCTGTCAGCAAACCGTACATTACTTGCTTTCTCTAACGTACCGAGGCTCGAAGTCAGCAAAAGTGAGCCTTAATTTATCTGGGTCGGTTTCTGGCGACCATGGTTCTTCCGTGAATCCTTCTTGATGAACCATAGCCATGTTATACTCTCCCTTTGCTCTCTATCAATTCGACAACATGAGTTACCGTTTTCTTTTGTTGAAGCAGATCTACGCACTATACAATACCCAATCATATGTTTCTTTGGACCCATCCAGGCAGTAATCTCGGGAGTCTCTATCAGAGACTTCAACTCTGGGTCATCCCGTATCCAGTCTGCAGGAATGACTGTTCGATAGGCAACATCCCCGGTGGGTTCCGCTCGATCTGGATATCCCAGAACGATGCTTCTTACCATGCTTTTCACTCCATCCGAACCGATTATTATATCTCCAATTACAGTCTCTCCTGTTGCAAGCCTTACGGATACTTGAGGATCAGGGACTGGATTCATGTCCACAACACGTGCATCCAGTCTCAGCTTGATTCTTGGAGAGGTAGATATTAGGTCAAGCAACAGTTTGTGTAGGTCCGCTCTGTGAACATGGTAATTTGGAGCCCCGTGCATTTGCCGCATCACACTTCCCCACCGCGCGTACCCGACGAGCTCGCCGTTCTCGTAGCGTCGAAATGCGACACCCTGAGGTTCAACTGCCACCTCTGCGAGCTTGTTCGCTAGACCCCAGCGTGTAAGCAAGCGGGAAGCATTTGGGGATACCTGTAGCCCAGCGCCCTCTTCTTCCAGAACACTTTCCGACTCGAGAATAACAATATCATGACCGGCCCGGGCAAGACAGTGAGCAGCTGCCATTCCACCTAGTCCGCATCCGACTATCAGTATTCGAAGGCGTAAATCCGCTTCGCGAACTCGGCAGAGATGCTCGTTCTGAGATGGGCGTAGCGCATTAGTATCATTCTCTTTGGACAAGGATCCCACAGTCATCGGGCCTAATGTAGACGCTTAGTTGTCTATACTACATGCGAGACGAACCACTGACCGAAGGCGTTACTCGAGAGGAGATATGCCGGGATCGTCTGAACAGGAAAAATTTTGCTCATTGAGCACGTTCGACTATGTGATGGAGCACACGTATATTACTTGTCCATATCAGCAGCGCCAAAATACTGCCGAATTTCCGGACTATGATCAAAGACGGTAATGTGCGGTCCCGCACATTTTCTCGGCGCTAGGTATGGTAGTATTCTAATTTCTGAGTACATGTACTGTATAAGTAATACAACACATGTCACATACCAGCGCCGTGGGAATTTACACTTGACTAAAATTTTATTCAAAGATGCAGCAATCATTTGGAACATCTGACAATCAGTGCCTTCAAACTCGATCGTGCACCTATACATCTAGGCCAAATCATGTTTAGAATCAGAAGACAGTGCTATATTGGATGACTTCCCGTAAGAATTCTGCTAGAAAAAAGGCATCCTATTTTCATAAACTCTGTATATAAGCAAGATAGGATAGATTTAGACAAAATTTGCTTCCCGTAACACCAAGATTCATAGATGCTATAGCTAAGGGCAAATGTTCTGAGAGAACATGTTGATCATCAATTATACTAAATACAGATGTAACTCCGATGACAAAGTGACAGGCAATCAGGGATACTGTCATAAGTGTTGGCTATATTACCATATTTATTATTATGAACGTATTTCTCAAGTTTTGAGGTTTGTACAGGGGGGGTACCCCCCCCTGTACAGATTTTAAGTTTATTCATAGGGTGTTGTTGACCGAAATTATGGTACACTAGTCGGTTCCTGTTAAGAAAGGGGAAAGAGAGGTTATGTGAGAGGCTTAGAGGGATCACACAAAGAGGGGGGATAGTGGACTCAGCTTGCTCTCTCACAGCTTGCTTCAT